AAGATGCGGATTCATATTTTTGAGTCACTGAGCATGAAACAATATGGCATATGCAATCATTTGAAGTGAATGTCACTTGTAATCACACCATCCTTATTGCATGATTAGCTGTGCCCTGAATTTGGGGCAAATTGAGTTTCTTTCCTACCCTATCCCAATTTGTACTCTACTACACACTCTAACAACAACAACAACACACTCTATTAGAAGTCACTTTTTCTCTACAGCTTTGGTGCTGTAGGACAAGCACTGACTGCAAGGTTGGTTTGAACCGCAAGGTCAGTGGTTCAAACTTACCAGTCATTCCTCAGAAACCCTGTTCAAGGTCACGATGAGTCATAACCAACTGGGCAGCCCTTAAAAACAACAGCACATTAATGTTGTTCTTGTTAAGTGCCTTTGAGTCGACTCTAACTCATAGAGGCCCTGTATAGGGTTTTTGAGGAATGACTGATGAGCTTGAATTGACTGATGAGCTTGAACTAACTGACCTACTCTTAGCAGTCCAATGCTGATCTTACAATGCAAAACCAAGACTCCACAGGTACAAATATGTATATGTAAACACAAGTACATATATATGTTTATACGTGTACATAGGTATGTTGTTAAATGCTTTATGTGTGTGTGTATGTATATATGTGTGCATATATTTGTTGTTGTTGTTATGTGCCATCGAGTCGGTTCCGACCCATAGCGACCCTGTACAGGGTTTCCGAGGGTGTAAATCTTTACAGGAGTAGAAAGCCTCATCTTTCTCCCGCGGAGCAGCTGGTAGTTTCAAACTGCTGACCTTAAGGTTCGCAGCCCGATTCGTAACCACTACGCTACCAGAGCTCCTTGTGTGTGTATATATTATATAGATATAATGTTGTTAGGTGCTGTTGAGTCAGTTCCAACTCGTAGTGGACCTGTATAGAATTTCTGAGGCTTTAAATCTTTATAGGAGTAGAAAGCCTTATTTTTTTCTTCCATGGAATGGCTGGTGAGCTGTAACCACAGACCTTGTAGTTTGTAGTTCGGTGCTTACCTTATGGAACCACTGCTGTGAGTTGACATGTTAAGTGCGGTCCACTCATAGCAAGCCTGTATAGGGTTTCTGAGAAGTGGTTGGCTGGTTTGAACATCATACCTTGCAGTTATTCTACATAACCACACCAGGACTCAGTATGTTGTGCTGTTAAGTGCTGTTGAGTTGGTTCTGACCCATAGCGACCCTATGTACTATAGAACAAAACACACCCGGGTCCTGAGCCATCCTCACAATTACTGCTATGCTTGAGTTCATTGTTGCTACCACTGTGACAGTCCATCTAGTTGGGGGTCTCCTTCTTTTTTATTAACCCTTCGCTGTACCAAGCATGATGTCCTTCTCCAAAGTATGAGAGACAAAGTCTGACCATCTTGGCTTCTAAGGAGTATTCTAGCTGTACTTCTTCCAACACAGATTTGTTTGTTCTTCTGGCACTCCATGGTACCTTTATCTTCTCCAACACCATAACACAAATGCATCAGTTCTATTCAATGTCAGTTCCAACTCAAAGTGACCGTGTATAGGGTTTCTGAGGAGCAGCTGTTAGATTTGAACTGTCAACCTTGTGTTTCACAGTCCATTAATCCTACAGCATCACATTAAAAAAAAAATCTTTGTGGGTGCAGAAAGCCCCATCTTTCTCTGAGTGTGGTATCTCCAAATGATAAGCACTAAGATCCGTGGTTGAAGTCCTACTGCAAAGATTTTTAAAAGCCTTGGAAACCTATACAGGGTTGCTATGAGTCTGAACTTCAGTTCAAAGACACTGAACCACACCTGCATGTATATTACATGGAGACCTAGTTGCAAATGCTAACTTAGAATATATGAGGTGACAGTCCTTGATGTACTAGTTCAGTGCTTTGTGGTATGGTACTGTGAGTTCAGAACTTCAACTAAAGTCTTCCATTCCAAATGTGGTTGGTTTTGAATTTATTTCATCTCTGGAAAGTCCCGTTTTCTGGAGAGGGAGCAATTAAGAAATAGACTTACTTCAAGACATAGTGGGAATAAGAAGACTAGTGTGATGCTTTTAATACAATTAGTAAGCACTTCAGATTTACTCCAGCTACACAGTCATTTTTCACCATCCCAAATTTAAAGATTTCAACATGATGGAGACTTCAGTAACCTTTGGAAGTGGAGGGAGGGGTGGCAGATGAGGCAGACTGGAGTCATGAGGTGTGTGTGTGTGGAGGAGCATTCAACAAAAACCTATGACTGGTAGTGAATAACTGTTATCATGACTAATCGCGACTGTCACAATTGTAAAGGTAGAAGTTTTGTAACAAAAAAAAAGGGGAGTGATTAATCTTACAGTCCAGAAATAGAGGACCCTAGGACCATCAAGAGAGGAACACATGAATAGAATGTGGGACCTTATCCAGAGAAGCAGCAGCACCAGAGATGGGGGCATGGAGGACTCTAGATTCAACAACTAAGAAGAGAAGGACTAAGAACTGGTGGCCAGGAGCAGACTTGCAGAATGTGCCCTTTGGAGATGTAATTTATTATATATGCCTGAGTGAGTTTTTTTGTTTGTGTGTTTTTTAAAAAAAGCTAAAGTGGATAAAGAGAAATACTTTATGGTATATGGAGGGGATTATAATCAATGTAATGAAACAAGTTATATGAATTGTTGAATGTGAAACTGATGATGTGCCCTGTAAACTTTCACTCAATCCACAATAAAAACCTTAAATTAAAACAAAACAAAACCTATGACTGGCTCTCCTCCCATTTCCACCCATGCTGTTGTTTATTTATAAGGGCAGAGGTACTGGGAGGCCTTTCCAAAGCACATTTTCCTGGGGTTGTATTATATGCATCTGACAGTGAAGCTCTTCAAGAATAAAGGACCAGGTAAAATGGATTCATTGTCTTCTGTGTTTAGGATGCACTAATAATGCAGATTTTAAAACAGAAGTTGTGAGCAATATCCACAAGTTGGGACCGAAGAATTAGTTCTTTGCTAGTGTTGTGCTGAAGGGTGTTGAATCTGTAAATTTCAGTCTTGCAGGTTCTACAGTCTGAGCGGGAGGTTAGAGAAATTCGCATACTCCACAGCTGTTAAGTACTGTGGAGTCGGTTCCCACACATAGTGACCTTATACAGGGTTTCCAAGGCTGTAAATCTTTATCGGAGCAGAAAGCCTCATCTTTCTCCTGCGGAACAGCTGGTGGTTTCCAACTGCTGACCTTAAGGTTAGCAGCCCGATTCTTAACCACTACACTATCAGAGCTCCAGATGACTGATAATACAAGGGAAATGCTAGGGTACGGCTGGAAGAAAGAGGAACATCAGGAATGTTCCTTCGAATTCTCTGATGTGCCCTCACTCTGAAAGCAAGTCTGAGGAAGGCAGACAACTGGACACAGAAATTATAATAGACTAGGGGTGGGTGTAGCTTTGCTAGCACCTCTGTGGGGACATGTCTGGGAAGCATGGCTCCTCTTCCAGTTCATTACAGTCAACCAGGGATTCAACCACAAGGTCCCTTAAATAGAAAAGTACAAATTAAGCACCAGTTGTCTATGCTGTGACTTGCAGATAGTGTTTTGGTTCTACATGGCATTGTACACTGTTTGGCTTTGATGGTACTAGCCAGTCCCGTTGAGTCGAGCTGTCACAGGAGGGATTTCTGCAGGCCACACAGTGAGGAAATCACAGGCTAGACCATTATTCTTTTTTTACTTGACCAATGGCCACTGACTTCAGAGAAATCACTTTAAACTCTGCACCTCAGCTTCCTCACCCAGGCCTCCTTGAAACGGTCAGACAAAATAATTCCGGTGCCAGCCAACAGCAGGGGACTGCCACCCAAATTACTGAAGAAAAATAAACATGCTCAAGTAGAGTTTTAGAAAATTTCCCCCAACGATCTAACTTCAGACAGCAATCACTGGGATTTGTCTCTTTCTCCATCTCAGAGGGCTTCTGTTGATTTCTGCCTTTCAGTGAACGCGCTTTGGGTTGTCACTGTTTGGTACATTCCCAGTACACCAACCAAGCAGCTCTGAGCCAGAGAAGGGATTCCTTTGCTCTCTCCCGCCTTTCTCTCCCATCTCACTCTCAGCCTTAGGTCTACTGAGTTTTCCACACGTGAATGGATTTTCCTGGCTGATCTCCAAAGACCTTGCAGTATTTCAGAAAGCTTAAAGATCGCTGGAGATCAGCGAACGAGCATCCACCCACTCCGAGAAGCTGTGCAGTCCCTTGGGGACCCTCCTCCCACGGTGCAGCGGACGCCTAGAGAGCTAGCTTGCGGGGCCGTCAGCGCCAGTCTTGGTGGAGAGCCTGGGCCCCTTCCCCGCCTCCCCCTCGCTGCCCCTCTCCGCCAGTAGCAGCGCTGCTGTCTTCCCACGGGAGGACACTGGAGTCTGCAGCGCCCCCGCCCCCTTGCTTTTTCTTTCTTCCCTTGCTTTGGGATCTTGCTGCCGGAGCCGGGAGAGGTTCTGAGAAGAGAGAAGATCGAGGGACAGGAGCCTAGGCTTCTGAGGCGGCGTGTGATCAGAGCTGGGGGCATTGTATCCCCGGCGTCCCTTCGGGCCACAATGTAAAGAAGGAAAGCCTTCAGCGCCTACTGCCCCTGAAGCCTGCCTTCGAAGGTGCTCCGGAGAGCGCATTGGGGACCGGCTGCTGAAGTGCCTTTACCCGTAGCGCCGCCGGACGGGAGCCGCTAAGCGTTCGGGGTACCGGTTCCCTTTTTTCCAAAAAAGCGCGCTGGGGACCACCGCCCTCCAGGCGCTCTGCACAACTCCAGGGCCAGCAGCCCGCGGCTGGACCAAGTGCTGCTTCCCGCCGGCTTACTGGGAGTAGAGCGCAGCCTCTGCCCACCTGCTTCCCCTGTAGCTGTAGCTTCTGTGGCACCTGTTCGGATCTCCCACTCTTGGACTCTGAGCCTCGCAGCTCCCACACTCTTCGGTACCGCTGGCCCCATGGAGAGCATGCCGGTCGCCGCTCCTTGAGTGCGGGCACCGCAGCCGTCCAAGCTGCGCTCTGGGGTACCCCGGCTCGTCCCCCTCAGGGGTCGTAGGGGCGTCCAAGAGCCGGGGGAAGAGTGCGCCATGAAGTCTCTGCTCTTCAGCCGCTTCTTCATCCTCCTGCCCTGGATCCTCATCGTCATCATCATGCTCGACGTGGACACGCGCAGGCCCGCGCCCCCGCTCACCCCGCGCCCCTACTTCTCTCCCTTTGCTTCGGGCCGCGGGGGCGCCCGACTCCCGCTCCGCAGGGGCAGCTCCAACAGCGGTCTGGGGCGCAGCGCGGAGAAGCGCAATGAGTCTGGACTGCAGCCCCAGCCCCAGCCGCAGCCCCAACCCGAGCCGCCGCTACCCACCATCTATGCCATCACGCCCACTTACAGTCGCCCGGTGCAGAAAGCCGAGCTCACCCGCCTGGCCAACACGTTCCGCCAGGTGGCGCAGCTGCACTGGATCCTGGTGGAGGATGCGGCCGCGCGCAGCGAGCTGGTGAGCCGCTTTCTAGCGCGGGCCGGATTGCCCAGCACACATCTACACGTGCCCACACCGCGGCGCTACAAGCGACCGGGGCTGCCGCGCGCCACCGAGCAGCGCAACGCCGGCCTCGCCTGGCTGCGCCAGAGGCACCAGCACCAACGCGCACAGCCGGGTGTGCTCTTCTTCGCCGACGACGACAACACTTACAGTCTGGAGCTCTTTCAGGAGGTAGTTGCCAGCCCGCCCCAGTTGGGGGGCGGGAGCGGGAAAGGCCCTCTGTCCTCACCCAGCAGCTGGCGCTCATCCTCACGCCTGCACTTTTGAATTCTCAGTTCTCTGTGTGCCTAATGAGGACTCCATGTGGAGCCGCTCCTTAACGGGCATCCCACAGCCTCCGTTGGCACTGGTGTGTTTACGCTGACCATAGGGGTGGAGGGTGAATGAGGACCGTTGTGGCAGAGGCAAGGTCTGGTCTGGGGCTTTGCTACCCATTTGGACCTCGAGTTCGGTGGAGAGATTAGCACAGGTGAGATGGAGTAATGCTTTCCAAGAACTGGGCGCTGGCTGATCTGAACGCGGAGCCCAGATGGGGAGACGAGTCTACAGGAGGTGTTAGCATCCTGGAGATCAAGGAGGGACTCAGCACGGAAGGCAGGGGAGGTTCTGACAAAAGTCAGCCTAGAGGCACATTTCTCTCATGAAATCGCATGGCACAAAAGTGGTTATTCGTGAAAAACACTGACTCCTATGGAGCTTTTCCCTCTGTTCCGTCCCCATACTCCACGAAGGCCCTTTCTGACCCTAGTGATGACCTCTTTTTCAAGAAAATCTTCTCTGGCTTAGAGTTGAGATAATTCTGCCATGTGATTATGCCATTTCATAGTCGGAGGAATCAGATCGCTCCCTTTCACCAACCTTTCTCTAAAGCCTCTCTTTGGCAACTTGTTGAAAAAGTTTTCATTAGGGCTCACTGTCGGATCCTGTGCGAAATCCAATCCCTGCTGCTGATATGGCACTTGTGTTCCTTTCGAGATGCAGAGTCAGCAGGCATAGCGTTAGAACAGGTGTTATTTCTTGAGATTGGCAGTTTGCTGTGTATGTCTATATTTTGCAGTTGAGACTGGACATGCTTTGTCGGTTGTCTTTTTCCTCTTCAACGATTATAGGTGAAAGGAGTTTGTTTGGTTTTTTGTTTTTTGTGTTTTTTTTTTTTTTTGGACTATTGGGTATCTTCCAGACAGTTGCCTTTCTTCATCCAAAATTCCTTGGCATCCTGCTTGTATGGAATCCATGTCATTCCTCTCCACAAGTAAACTGGACATTCGGAAAACACTGTGTGCTGGACACTGAACTCATACAGTAGCCTGTGCCTAGTATCCATACATCTTAATCACTTCCTCTCCTTGCATCCCAGATTCTTAGCTTTGCTTTCTTAGCCTCAGGATTAGCCTGTGTGGCTTTTAAAACATGTTTCTTAGAAGCAATTGCAGCCTTCATCTTTATCCATCCTTTGCTTCCTCATGAATAAAAGGAACAGTAGTTGTTCTCCATTTTTTATTCCCTAACCTTTCACTCCATAGGACTGACTCACTGTATTTCTCCAGAGAAATAAATAAGCTTGGCATTTGTATGATAGGGTCTTTATTATAACCTCAAATAGAGATACCATCTGAGTTTTTAAGTTGGCTTTCATGTAAAATCCTGCTTGGGTGCTTTTGCCCCCATCCCATCCCCAAATAAGTGGCTTGTCTTTTGAAGCAAAGATCTTCATGTTTTGATGCATCATAATTTTACAGTCTTTTTAGTTTTTTGCCTTACCTGTGAAAATGTGTGGTCCTGAATAAGTGTAAGTAAAGAAATGCACATAATTGCCAGTTAACCTCTTGAAGGAATGGGTTGTGAGTTTCAATTTCTTCTAGCCCATTGGTTTGAGTTTAGATGAGTTGGCACATACAGGCAGGCAGTCAAACGATTCAGAACACAATCTTCCTTTGATGCTTCCCTAGCTGAAAGGAGGGCTTGTTGGTGGTAGATTTTAAGCAGCAGAAGAATCCCATAGGTTTTTTTCCTTTGACTCATGTTGTTGTTGTTGTGTGCCTTGCAGTCAGTTTCAATTCATAGTGACCCTGTACAGGGTTTCCAAGGCTATAAATTTTTATGGGAGTGGAAAGCCTCATCTTTCTTCCATGGACGAGCTGCTAGTTTGGAACTGCTGACCCTGAGGTTAGCAGCCTGATTTGTAACCACTACGCTACCAGAGCTCTCTAACTCATAGGATGAATAAAAGATGCTAAAAGGAAGAGAGAGGGTGAGTAGGAAAACTAGTGCTGGCAAAGAGGAGATTATAAAGGGAAAATATACAAAACTTTCAAGACACTAAAATTTGCTTCAATTGGAAGTAATGAAACAATGACACAAAATAATACATAACTATTCTTGTGAAGACATACCAAATATACAAACTATACAAAAGAGAGTGTCTTTTAAAGTGTAATGGCACACTTAGAATTTGAATTCTGTAGCTTCTTGAGGTCACTCCCAGAAGTATTTTTATGACTAGTCCCTTTTTCCAGCACCAACTTTCCCCCACTACAATGTTTTTGGACAGAGTAGGCATGTGTTCACTGTGTATATTAGTTGATACATTCCATTTTCACAACAGGTTCTTTTTTCTTGCAAGGCATGTAGTATTGAACCCTCTAGAAAGTCAGATTGGTGAAATTTCTGGATCCTTTGTGTAGTTAATTGTTCCAAATTTGACCTTTATTTTCTTTTAAACCCTTAGTGTATTAATGGGCTGGTCTACTATACAATCAGGAGTCCTGGTATGGTGCTGTAGGATAAGCACTGGCCTGCTAACTGCAAGGTTAAAGGTTCAAATCCACTAACTGCTCCTCAGAAACCCTATACCACATCACTATGAGTTGGAACCAACTCGACGGCACTTAACAATAACTATACAGTGATTCTAGGATTAATGATTCCAAGTGAATTTTATGTCAAGCATTGGTCTCTTGGAGAAAATGTGGGATCAGATAAAGTACCTAAACACTGGGAGAAGGGAAAGGTGCTAATTAGGGATTCTGTAGGCTATGGCGTATGTCTTAGTCCTTTATACTGTACACACAAATTTATTTTTAAGTAATCCACAGTATTTAAGGAAAGAATGTACCAAACCAGACTTAAGTTTTCATTAATACTGCTAATTTCCATGGTTGATGCTAGAATGTTGGTAGTGGTTATGTGCTGTGGCTTCAGTTCTGACTCGTAACAACCCTGTAGAGGGTTTCCAAGGCTTAAAATCTTTACAGAAGCAGAAAGCCTCATGTTTCTCCCTTGGTGGAATTGAACTGCTAACCTAGTGGTTAGCAACCCAACACATAACCCACTATACCACCAGGGCTCCTTTGATGTTAAGGTGGTGGTGGTGTGCCATGGAGTCAGTTCCGATTCATAGCGACCCTTCATAGGATTTCTGAGGCTGTAAGTAGATAAGTTAAAAGGAGGAGAATGAACCAGGTACAAATTAGCTCGCTAAGTATTGGCTGCAAATGAAAGAAAATAAAGGATGAAAGGTCTCCAAATTAAATTAAAGGCGCAACAGGCAATCCATGTTCAATGATTCCTCCCTGGTAATTGGGATGGTGCTTTCTTCTTGCATACCGCTAATTTTCGACATTGCTTTTCAACTAAACTGTGCTGAGAAAGAAATATTTGCATTGAACAATTCTGTGTTAACAGCCAAATCCACTTGCAAATGAAGCTCAGTGTGAGTCATAGCTACAGAAATGGGACTATGCACTGGAGAAGGAGGTGTAAGAGGCTTTCAGGTTTCAAGTCTCTCAACACTACTGCTCTTCATCTGGCATTAATGGGGTTTTGCAGTAGGGATCACAGGTAATCCTGCTTGTCTGTGCACCCTATCGATGTAGCTCTCTGGAAAACCTTATTTGCAAAAGACTTAAGCTGCTTTAATACAAGCCACAACTACAGATAAATGTGACTTTATATCTAGTTATATTTTCAATAACACTATTGATCAGATTTCTCTTCTTTACTAGAAAACCTTCAAAGCTTTTTCCTGAGTTTAAAGCTGAGGCTTTTCAGGTGAAGCTGGTTTTAGGTTTGAAAATCAATTGAATTGAAAGGTTAAAAACAAAAAACCAAGCACATTCCAAGCCAGAAGAAAAAAAACACCACTTTTATAATCTTAACCTTAAATTTAATGAGGTAAGACAGACCAGCTCTAAGGCACTTTGAAGATTCATGGGGTTGCATCTTGAAAAACATTCTGGAAAGCAATGAACTTAAGAGGTCCATTGTTTGAATTTTTCTGTTATTGTTGGGTGCTCCTAAGATATTTGTATGCTAGGCTGTGAAGGAGTTGAGGTTTAATTCTGTCTTGCTCCTTTTCTCTAGTAATTATACTATTGTTGCTATTAAATACCATCATGTCAGTTCCAACTCATAGCTCACCCTGTATAGGGTTTCCAAGGAGTGCCCAGTGAGTTTGAGCCACCAATCTTGCTGCATCAGAATGTTCATAGGAAACTGGAATTAAAAGATACTGACATCTTTTCACCACCATTTTGAAGCTCACTCATATACTTTCCCCCTTTATGTGCAGCTCATTATGAGAGTCAAGGAGTTCTGGTAGCATAGTGGTTACGAGTTGGGCTGCAAACCTCAAGGTCAGCAGTTCAAAACTACCAGCTGTTCCACAGGAGAAAGATGAGGCTTTCTGCTCCAGTAAAGATTTGCACCCTCGCAAACCCTGTGCAGGGTCGCTATGAATCGGAACCGACTCCACGGGGCACGTAACCACCACTACCACCATTATGACAATCACCATCCAAAGAAAAACTGTTTACAATTTGGGCAGTTTTTCCTTAATTAGTAAATTCTCTATATGTTTCTGAGAGAAGACATGAGATCTATCATTCCTCTTGATACAGTTAGTTTCTTGTTAAGCACTGTCATGTCAGTTCTGACACATAGCTGTATAGGCCTTCCAAGGAGCGGCTGGTGACCTTGAACTGCCAACCTTGCAGTTCAAGCTGGTCTTGTAGTCCAGCACATTAATCCACAGCACTACACCAGGACTCCACAGTTACTTAGCGTAGTTACCCTATGCTTATAGTTACCCTAAACATATGCTTATCTTTTTAAAGTGAATAAACCTAGAAACTTCTCTCTGGTGTAGTATATTTTACTCAGAATGTGCCCCT